AAAAAAAAAAATTTTTTTTTAATGTAAATGTATTTGGTTATTTGTTATTCTGTGGAATTTTTTTTAAATAAGGGAAATGTAGGAGTGCCTGCAGTTGGGACAGCTTAGGTTAATAAGGAAAATGTGTAGTGAGATGAGAATAAAATCATTAAGGGGGTTCTTTTGATAAAATATTTCTATTGCTAAAATGTCATCTTTTCCGTGAGGCCATATGTAAAATTGTAACTCTTCCACTGAGCAGTCCCTATCCCCCTTTCTTGCTTCATTTTTTTACCATACTACTTGTCACCATATGACATATTAAACATTTTACTTATTTAGTTTAATATAAATAAGATTTCTACCTTGAAGGGTCTGCCCCTATTAGATGCCCATAACTATTTATTAAACAGATGAAGGATGAATAAAAGCATCTTGTATTCACTATTATCTGGGTTTGCTCTTTAGGCATGATGATTCCAAATGATATCCAAGGCCCTGGCTTGCTTGTTGAACTCCCTGCTGTGGCTCAAAGAATGGAGCAAGATTTGCCCTTATACCAACTCCCCAGGACCCGAGTTGTTTCCAAGGCCTCGGCATACATAGGAACATCATCTAGATATACCACTGATGCCTGGTATGATACCATTTATCTTTGTTTTCACATTATAAAGTAGTTTTCTTTTTGCTCTTATTTAAAAAAACATGATTATGGTGGAACATTTGGAAAATACAGAAAATATGAATAAAACTGAATATTGGACAATTACTATGAGAATTTCACATACTTAAAATTGAAGCATATATACAATTTTGTATTCTTGCAGTTGTGTGGAAAACGATTACATAGAATATTTGCTTAGAGAATAAGAGTTTAATTGTTTAACAATGTAAGCAAGACATACAGACAGATTAAGGAGGGAATGGATTCAAGAGTTAGAGAATTTGCTGGAATTGGTGACTGATAACGTGTCAGGATGAGAAGACATAGTTGAGGATGACTTGTGTTTCTGGACTGGGACAATAAATGAATTGTGGCACCATTAATTCTTTCATATATGATTGTAGGAGCAAAGGAAGCAACTTAAGTGTTCATTGGTAGATGAATGGATAAAGAAGGTGTGGTATTGGGGTACTGGGTGGCTCAGTCAGTTAAGCATCTGACTTCGGTTCAGGTCATGATCTCAGGGTTCTGGGATCAAGCCCCATGTCAGGCTCTCTGCTCAGCAGGGAGTCTGCTTCTCCCTCTCCTCCTGTGCTCTCACTCGCTCACTCTCAAATAAATAAAATCTTAAAAAAATAAAAAACGTGGTATATATGCAATGGAATATTATTCAGTGAGAAAAAAGAATGAAATATTGCCATTCTCAACAGCATAGACAGACATAGAGGATATTATGCTAAATGAGATAGGTCAGATAGTGAAAGACAAATACCATATGATTTCACTTATATGTGGAATCTAAAAAAAAAACCACACGAACAAATGAACAAACAGAAACTGGCTCATAAACAGAACAAACTGGTAGTTGCCAGATGGGAGGGGGAAGAGGGATGGGCGGAATAAGTGAAGGGGATTAAGAGGCACATGCTTCAAGTTATAAATAAGTTATGGGGATAAGTGCAGCATAAGGAATACAGTTGATAATATTATAATTTTATGGTGACAGATGGTAGCTACACTTATCATGGTGAGCTTTTCACTATGTATAGAACTGTCAAATCACTATGTTGTACACCTGAAACTAATCAAACATCGTATATTATACTTCAGTTTAAAAAAAAAATTATAGGAACATGAATAGGTTGGAAAGGAAAATGAATTTGGTTTGGGACATGTTGAGGGTTCCACAAAGTGAAGTGGAATCAATTAGGTGTGTGATTCTGGGGTTTAATGTTGAGGTCTATCCTTATGTGGATAATTGGGAGCAAGATCACGTGTATGTGAAACTGATGGATTTGAATAGTTGTCATCCAGGGTAAGCTCAAATAGGAAGAGCATAAGGCCAGAATTATAGTCCTGCAAAACAGCATTGTTATAGGTATGAATGAGGAAGAAAATAGTGGAGTGGAATGAATGAACAAAACGTTGGAGGAAATTGATGAGCCCAGAGAAAGTCATGGGGGCACCTGGGTGGCTCAGTCGTTAAGCGTCTGCCTTTGGCTCAGGTCGTGATCCCAGGGTCCTGGGGCTCGGGGGTGCCTGGGTGGCTCAGTCGTTAAGTGTCTGCCTTTGGCTAAGGTTGTGATCCCAGGGTCCTGGGATCGAGCCCTGCATTGGGCTCCCTGCTCCTCGGAAAGCCTGCTTCTCCCTCTCCCACTCCCCCTGCTTGTGTTCCCTCTCTCGCTGTGTCTCCCTCTGTTAAATAAATGAGGTAAAGGAGAAGGAGTTACACATATATAACTACATGTATATCTGTGTGTGTGTGTGTCTCTCTCTCTGTCTTTCTGGGATAGATCCAGCGAATGAATATGTCGATGCTAGAAAGATGGTGATTAAACACGGTCCCTGGTGAGGGTGAAGGGAGAGAAGGACATTGCACACCTAGAAGATGAGCCTTTGGTGGTTTGATGGGAGGAAGTTTACCTCCTCCACAGAGACAGGTGCCAGGAATGAAAAGGAAAGTACAAATACAAGTGCTATTTTGTGTCTTATGGGCAGGAATCCCAAGAGATATTTTATTTTTTATATTTTTTGTCATTTAGGTAAAGGTTATTTTAAAACAGGGATGAGGTGGTAGTAATGTGGGCATTAAAAGGAGAGGTGTCTGAGTAGGGATTCACTTTTGAAACAACGGCAGGAGAGTAATGGCTTAGTGGAAGGGAGTTTAGAAAAATCTTGGCGCCTCCCCACCCCCCGCCCTTTTCCAACTTCCCAGAGCAAGGGAATGAGCATCACTCCCTTGAGCGTGGTATCTGTGGCAGAGAACCAGAAGCTGTAGAGAGAACAGAAGAGGTTGAGAGAACATTCGGTGAAGAGGTCAGGGTGTGGAGTAGTTTCTTGACAACTCAAGGAGATTCCATGGAGTGTGATGGGTAGTTTGGCTGGAGGGTCTTGGGGGTGAGTCTGGGAACGGAAGCAAGGAGAAACCAGAGAATCAGGGAAGGAAGGAGTTGGTGGCCAAGCATAACAGGGATGAGAGATAGGGTGGGTTTATTGGCATTCATGTTTTTATTAAAACTTTAGTCCAAGTGTGTTGATATATGAAGTGTCTTAGAATGATAGCACTTCTCGGTTCAGCAACCTCGTGACCTTTGCCTATAGTTTTAGATAGAAACTTCATATCACAAACAGTTGGTCTCTGGGCTTCAGCATAGCTCCTCTCTGAGTGGAAAGGAAAGACTCAGATCGGCTCAACTACTTGAAGGAATTCGGTGGCTTTTTATTCAGCAGAACTGGACCAGTGTGCAGAGGGGAGGTGCTGACAGGTCCTACATCCTGGTGCGAGTGATGTAACCAGCTCCCAGGGAAACACATAGTCTTAAACAGGCAGCGGGTTTGTTTCTTTTTTTTTTAAAAGATTTTATTTATTTATTTGACAGAGAAAGACACAGCGAGAGAGGGAACACAAATGGGGAGTGGGAGAGGGAGAAGCAGACTCCCTGCCGAGCAGGGAGCCCGATGCGGGACTCGATCCAGGGACTCCAGGATCATGACCTGAGCCGAAGGCAGTCGCTTAACCAACTGAGCCACCCAGGCGCCCAGTGGGTTTGTTTCTTTAGGAGAGATGCCTGGAGGTGGAAGTACCGGAAGGCTTAGGAATATAATTTTATGACTTCTTAAAAATTAAAAAAAATTTTTTTTAATTTTTTATTGTTATGTTAATCACCATACATTACATCATTAGTGTTTTTTTTTTTTTTTAAGATTTTATTTATTTATTTGAGACAGAGAGAATGAGAGACAGAGAGCATGAGAGGGAGGAGGGTCAGAGGGAGAAGCAGACTTCCTGCCGAGCAGGGAGCCCGATGCAGGACTCGATCCCGGGACTCCAAGATCATGACCTGAGCCAAAGGCAGTCGCTTAACCAACTGAGCCACCCAGGCGCCCTACATCATTAGTTTTTGATGTAAAAAAGAAATATTTAAATAATCTCCACACCCAGTGTGGGTCTTGAACTCACAACCCCAAAATCAAGAGTCACATGCTCCACCAACTGAACCAGCCAGGTAGGTACCCCTAATCTTATGACTTTTTATATGGTCAAATTACTTTTCAAGTGAAACATCTTTGTGTTTTTTTAAATTTCCCTTCAGCTTGGTGTTAATAATTGAATCTGGTCAAAGAATTCAGAAATGGGGCTGCTGCTTTAAAGGTGTAGAACTGTGACTGCAGAATTGGACAGTATCTAAACAAATTTCCAAGACCACCCCTCCTTTCTTATGCGGAAGACCAAACGGAACATCCATTGTGTCTTACTCAATTCTTCCAGCTTCAGAGAGGGAAGATGCACTTGACTCCTACCCCATTCATTACTTTTTCTCTTAAAGTATCTTTGACAAGCTGATTTCTTATGAGGCACAGGCATTCAAGAGTTTTGACCTAACTTGTCTTCTGAGATCAGTCTTGCATTTGAATGTTGTTTTTTTTGACTTGCTGTCATAGATTCAGGGTATATTGAAATTTCAGCAGGTTCTAGAAGAATTCCTGTAAGTCATATTTCCCCTCTTTTAGTCTTTCAAGATGTGCCCCCATGGAGTTAGGTTCATAGGGGAGTATTTATTGCCACTCAGGAGCTTTCCTGAGTAATGCATAGATTCTTTTGGAAGACAGTCTTTCAGATCAGGGTCTCATGCAGTGCTGAATGATATTTTAGAGTTTCTACTTTGCACTAATTTTTGTGTAGGACCCAGCAAAGTTATTTAACAAGCACTGTGCTGCTTTATCACACAGACCGACTTTGCTGTACCTTTGGAGGCCTGTTTTTTGTTTTGTTTTGTTTTTAATATTCAACTTGAAGGGGGCCAGTGGTGCAATGGATAATGTGTCTGTGGATCAGAATATTTATTCAGTTTATTTAAACTAAAAACAAAACAAATACAGTTTACTTATTTCTCCTGCCTTTCACCCCCTGCCTCTTGAAACTACCAATGTATTCTCTGTATCTAGGAGCTTGGTTTTTTGGTGGTTGTTTGTTTTAGATTCCACATATAAGAGAGATCATGTGGTGTTTGTCTTTCTGTCTGATTTATTTCACTTACCATAATACCCTCAAGTTCCATCCATGTAGTCTCAAAGGCAAGATTTCATTCTTTTATGGCTGTATAATAATCTAGTGTGTGTGTGTGTGTGTGTGTGTGTACACATACATATACACCATGATTATCTATCAATGGATTGTTTCTGTATCTTGACTGTCATAAATAATGCTGCAATGAACATGGGGGTGCATATATCTTTCACATAAGTGTTTTCATTTTTTTTTAGGTAAATACCCAGAAGTGATATTGCTGGATCATACAGTAGTTGTATTTTAAAATTTTTGAGGAACCTCCATACTTTTTCCAATTTACCTTTCCAACAACAGTGTACAGGAGTTCCCTTTTCTCCATATCTTTGCCAACCAACACTTGTTATTTCTTGTTTTGTTTTGTTTTGTTTTTGATAATAGCCATTCTAACAGTGTGAAGTGATAC